AACCCCAAGAAACCCAAAAACCCCAAATTTGGGTCTCAAAATCCCCCCAAAAACCCCCCAAAAAAACCCCAAATTTGGGGGTCCAAACCCCCAAAATAAACCCAAAAAAACCCAAATTTGGGGACTAAAAAACCCCCAAAAATCCAAATTTGGTGTCTCAAAAACCCCCAAATTTGGTGGTCCAAACCCCCCCAAATAACCCCAAGAAAACCCAAAAAAAAACCCCAAATTTGGGTCTCAAAATCCCCCCAAAAACCCCCCAAAAAAAACCCAAATTTGGGGGTCCAAACCCCCTCAAATAAACCCAAAAAAAACCCAAATTCGGGACTCAAAATCCCCCCAAAACCCCCCCAAAAAAATCTCAGATTTTGGGGTCCAAACCCCCCCAAAACCCCCCAAATAAACCCAAAAAAACCCCAAATTTGGAGGACTCAAAATCCCCAAAACCCCCCAAAATCTCAGATTTGGGGGTCCAAACCCCCAAAAACCATCCCCAAATAAACCCAAAAAAACCCCAAATTTGGGCTCAAAATCCCCCTAAACCCCCCCAAAAAAATCCCAGATTTGGGGGTCCAAACCCCCCCAAATAAACCCAAAAAAACCCAAATTTAGGGACTCAAAACCCCCCAAATAAACCCAAAAAAAACCCAAATTTGGGGACTCAAAACCCCCCCAAACAAACCCAAATTAAACCCCAAATTTGGGGCCCAAACCCCACAACCCCCAAATAAACGCAAAAACCCCAAAAAACCCATAAATCATGGGGCTCAAACCCCCCCCAAAAAATCCCAGTTTTGAGAGCCCAAATCCCTCCAAAAAAACCCAAAAAAAAACCCAAAAAAATCAAATTTTGGGATCAAAACCCCTCCAAATAAACCCAAAAAATCCCCAAATTTAGTGACTCAAAACCCCCTAAAAATTAAAAACAAAACAAAACAAAAAAACCAAAAAAAAACAAATTTGGGGGTCTAAACCCCCCCAAATAAACCCAAATTTGGGTGTCCAAGCCCCCCCAAAACCCCCCCAAATAAACCCAAAAAAAACCCAATTTGGGGCTCAACCCCCCCCCCCAATAAATCCCAAATTTTGGGGTCAAAACCCCCCCAAATAAACCCAAAAAAACCCCAAATTTAGGGACTCAAAACCCCCCAAAAAACCCAAAATAAACCCCAAATTTGGGGGTCCAAACCCCCCCAAAAGAACCCAAAAAAATCCCAAATTTGGGGGTCAAAATCCCTCTAAAATCCCTCAAAAAAACACAAAAAAAACCCAAAAAATCCAAATTTGGGGACTAAAATACCCAAAAAAACCCCAAATTTGGGAGCTCAAAACCCCCCAAAAAAACCCCAAATTTGGGGGGTCAAACACCCCAAAAAAAACCCCAAATTTGGGGACTAAAAAACCCCCCAAAAACCCAAATTTGGTGGCTCAAAACCCCCCCAAAAAACCAAAATAATCCCAAATTTGGGGGTCCAAACCCCCCCAAATAAACCCAAAAAAACCCCAAATTTAGGGACTCAAAAGCCCCCCAAAAAATCCCAAATTTGGGGACTCAAAACCCCCCCAAAAGAACCCAAAAACCCCCAAAACCCCCCCAAAAAAAAACAAATTTGGGGACTAAAAAACCCCAAAAAAACCCAAATTTGGTGGCTCAAAACCCCCCAAAAAATCCCAAATTTGGGGGTCCAAACCCTCCCAAAAAAACCCCAAAAAACCCAAATTTTGGGGTCAAAACCCCTTCAAATAAACCCAAAAAACTCCCAAATTTAGGGACTCAAAAGCCCCTCAAAAAAACCAAAATAAACCCCAAATTTGGGGTTCCAAAACCCCCCAAAAAAACCCAAATTTGGAGCTCAAAATCCCCAAAAATTAAACCAAAAAACCCCAAAAAAACCAAATTTGGGGACTAAAAAACCCCCAAAAATCCAAATTTGGTGACTCAAAACCCCCCCAAAAAACCCCAAATTTGGGGTCCAAACCCCCAAATAAAACCAAACCAAATTTGGGGCTCAAAACTCCCCAAATAAACTCCAGATTTGGGGTCCAAACCCCCAAAACCCCCAAATAAACCCCAAAACCCCCAAATTTAGGGACTCAAAATCCCCCAAAAATACAAAAAAAACCCCAAATTTGGGGCTCAAACCCCTCCCAAATAAACCCAAAAAAGCCCCAAATTTGGGGGTCCAAACACCCCCCAAACCCCTCCAAATAAACCCAAAAAAATCCCAATTTAGGAACTCAAAACCCACCCAAAAAATACAAAAAAAAAAACAAATTTGGGGGTCCAAAACCCCCCAAAAAAACCCCAAATTTCAGGGCTCAAAACGCTCCAAAAACCCCCCAAAAAACCAAATTTGGGGACTAAAATACCCCAAAAAAACCCCAAATTTGGTGGCTCCAAATCCCCCCAAAAAAAACCAAATTTGGGGCTCCAAAACCCCCCAAAAAACTCCCAAATTTGGGGCTCCAGAAACCCCCAAAAAATCCCCAAATTTGGGGTCCAAACCCCCCCTTTGACCCCACTTTTTGTCTCTTCTTTTTTTCCCCTCCAGGATCATCGAGACCCTCCTGGCAAAATGACCCAAAAATGAGGGAAAATGACCCAAAAAAAGTGAAAAAATGAATAAAAAAAGAGAAAAAATGACCCAAAAATGGGGGAAAATGACCCAAAATCCCCCCATTGGTTTCAATGCGCCTCCTCCCATTGGCTGCCTCGCCCGTCCATCAACGCCATCCACCAATCAGCGCCAAAGCGCCGACACTGGGACCAATCAGCGCCCACCACTCCACGCCGCGGACCAATCAGCTATCGGAGAAGGCGGGGTTAAAGGCAAATGAGGCACTTCCGGGACTACAACTCCCGTCATGCCCCGCGGCCGCCTCAGAGCGGGGGGGGCAAAAATGACCCCAAAACCCCAAAATTCACCCCAAAAAAACCAAAATTCGACCAAAATTCACCAAAAATTCCCCTCAAACCTCACAAATCCCCCACAAATCCACCACAAAACTGCCCCCAAACTGACCCTGGGACCACAAACTGACCCCCCAAATGAGACCCCGAAACAGGACCCCCAAATGGGACCCCAAAATGAGACCCCAAAATGGGACCCCTAAAATGGGACCCCCAAATTGGACCCCAAAAATGAGACCCTAAAATGGGACCCCAAAATGAGGACCCCGAAAATGAGACCCCAAAAATGAGACCCCCAAATGGGACCCCCTCAAATAGGACCCCAAAAATGGGACCCCAAAATGGGACCCCTAAAATGAGACCCCAAAACAGGACCCCAAAATGGGACCCCCCTAAAATGTGACCCCAAAATGGGACCCCCAAAATGAGACCCCCCCCAAAATGGGACCCCAAAATGAGACCCCAAATGGGACCCCAAAATGAGACCCCCAAAATGGGACCCCAAAATGGGACCCCAAAATGAGACCCCCAAATGGGACCCCAAAAATGGGACCCCCAAATGGGACCCCCAAATGGGACTCCCCCAAAATGAGACCCCAAAATGAGACCCCCAAAATGAGACCCCCCAATCCCAGTTTTGGCCCCTCCCCCTCCCAGCTTGGGACCCCCAATCCCAGTTTGGCCCCTCCCTCCCAGTTTGGGCTCCTCCCCTCCCAGTTTGGCCCCTCCTCCTCCCAGCTTGGGACCCCCAATCCCAGTTTGGCCCCTCCTCCCAGTTTGGGATCCCCCAATCCCAGTTTGGGACCCCCAATCCCAGTTTGGGACCCCCAATCCCAGTTTGGCCCTCCCCTCCCAGTTTGGGCCCCTCCCCTCCCAGTTTGGGACCCCCCAATCCCAGTTTGGGCCCCTCCCCCTCCCAGTTTAGCCCCTCCCCCTCCCAGTTTGGGCCTTACTGGTGTTACTGGGAGGGTTCCTGTCCCTTACTGGTGTTACTGGGAGGGTTCCTGTCCCTTACTGGTGTTACTGGGAGGCTCTCATGTCCCTTACTGGTGTTACTGGGAGGGTCCCTGTTCCCTTACTGGTGTTACTGGGAGGCTCTCATGTCCCTACTGGTGTTACTGGGAGGTCCCTGTTCCCTTACTGGTGTTACTGGGAGGGTCCCAGTCCCTTACTGGTGTTACTGGGAGGCTCTCATGTCCCTTACTGGTGTTACTGGGAGGCTCTCCTGTCCCTTACTGGTGTTACTGGGAGGGTCCCTGTTCCCTTACTGGTGTTACTGGGAGTGCTCTGGGCCCTTACTGGTGTTACTGGGAGGCTCTCCTGTCCCTTACTGGTGTTACTGGGAGGGTCCCTGTCCCTTACTGGTGTTACTGGGAGGCTCTCCTGTCCCTTACTGGTGTTACTGGGAGGGTCCCTGTCCCTTACTGGTGTTACTGGGAGGCTCTCCTGTCCCTTACTGGTGTTACTGGGAGGGTCCCAGTCCCTTACTGGTGTTACTGGGCGGGTGCCTGTCCCTTACTGGTGTTACTGGGAGGGTCCCAGTCCCTTACTGGTGTTACTGGGAGGCTCTCCTGTCCCTTACTGGTGTTACTGGGAGTGCTCTGGTCCCTTACTGGTGTTACTGGGAGTGCTCTGGTCCCTTACTGGTGTTACTGGGAGGCTCTCCTGTCCCTTACTGGTGTTACTGGGAGGGTCTGTGCTCCCTTACTGGTGTTACTGGGAGGCTCTCCAGTCCCTTACTGGTGTTACTGGGAGGGTCCCTGTCCCTTACTGGTGTTACTGGGAGGGTCCCTGTCCCTTACTGGTATTACTGGGATTACTCTGGTCCCTTACTGGTGTTACTGGGAGGGTCCCTGTCCCTTACTGGTGTTACTGGGCGGGTGCCCAGTCCGTTACTGGTCCGTTACTGGTCCGTTACTGGGAGGGGGGCGTGGCCCGGCGCCTCCACCCCCTCCCTTACTGGTCCCTTACTGGTCCTTACTGGTGGCACTGGGACCTCCCCGCGCCGCCCCCCGGCCCTTACTGGTGCCTTACTGGTGTAACTGGGAGGGCGGCGGCGCCTTTACTGGTGCCTTACTGGTGTAACTGGGAGGGGGAGGGGGCGTGGCCTCGGGGGCCCCTCCCCGGTGACGTCACCGGGTCCCAAAATCCCCGCGGGGCCCCAAACTGGGGGAGCCGCGGCCGTCCCAGTAGCGCCCAGTTCAGGTACTGGGAGGGACTGGGGGGGCCGACTGGGAGCGACTGGGAGAGACTGGGAGAGACTGGGGGGGTTAAACTGGGAGGGGGCGGGGCTTGGGCCCCTCCCCCCACCCGCGACCGCCGCGTGACCTTGGGGGGAGGGGGAGGGGAACGGGGGGGGCCCAGTAACTCCCAGTAAATCCCAGTAACCTCCCAGTAACTCCCAGTAACACCCCAATAACCCCCCAGTAATCCCAGTAACCCCCCCCAGTAAATCCCAGTAAATCCCAGTAACTCCCAGTAACCCCAGTAACCTCCCAGTAACCTCCCCAGTGAGCCCCCAGTACTCCCAGTAAACTCCCAATAACCTCCCAGTAATCCCAGTAACCTCCCAGTGAGCCCCCAGTAATCCCAGTAACCCCCCCAGTAACCCCTCCCAGTAAATCCCAATAACCCCCCAGTAATCCCAGTAACCCCCCCCAGTAATCCCCCAGTAACCTCCCAGTAAATCCCAGTAACCCCCAGTAAGCCTCCCAGTAAATCCCAGTAACCTCCCAGTAAGCCCCCAGTAAATCCCAGTAACCCCCCCAGTAACCTCCCAGTAACCTCCCAGTAAATCCCAGTAAACTCCCAGTAACCCCCAGTGAGCCCCCAGTAATCCCAGTAACCCACCAGTAACCTCCCAGTAGTCCCAGTAATCCCCCAGTAATCCCCCAGTAAATCCCAGTAACATCCCAGTAACCCCCCCAGTATTCCCAGTAACCCCTCCCAGTAAATCCCAGTAAACTCCCAGTAATCCCAGTAACCCCCCAGTAAATCCCAGTAAATCCCAGTAAATCCCAGTAAATCCCAGTAAATCCCAGTAACCTCCCAGTGACCCCCCAGTAATCCCAGTAACTCCCAGTAAATCCCAGTAACCTCCCAGTGACCCCCCAGTAATCCCAGTAACTCCCAGTAAATCCCAGTAACCTCCCAGTAATCCCAGTAACCCCTCCCAGTAAATCCCAGTAAATCCCAGTAACCCCCCAGTAACCCCCCAGTAATCCCAGTAACCCCACCCAGTAAATCCCAGTAATCCCAGTAAATCCCAGTAACCTCCCAGTAACCTCCCAGTAATTCCCCAGTAACCCCTCCCAGTAATCTCAGTAACCCCCAGTAACCTCCCAGTAATCCCAGTATCCTCCCAGTAATCCCAGTAAATCCCAGTAAATCCCAGTAAATCCCAGTAACTCCCAGTAACCTCCCAGTAAGCCCCAGTAAATCCCAGTAACCCCTCCCAGCAACCCCCCAGTAAACTCCCAATAACCTCCCAGTAATCCCAGTAACCCCCCCCAGTAAATCCCAATAACCTCCCAGTAAATCCCAGTAACCTCCCAGTAACCTCCCAGTAATCCCAGTAACCCCTCCCAGTAATCCCAGTAACCTCCCAGTAAATCCCAGTAATCCCAGTAACCCCTCCCAGTAATCCCAGTAATCCCAGTAACCCCTCCCAGTAACCTCCCAGTAAATCCCAGTAACCTCCCAGTAATCCCAGTAACTCCCAGTAATCCCAGTAACTCCCAGTAACCCCCCCAGTAACCCCCCAGTAATCCCCCAGTAAATCCCAGTAATCCCCCAGTAATCCCCCAGTAATCCCAGTAACCCCCCAGTAAATCCCAGTAACTCCCAGTAACCCCAGTAACCTCCCCAGTAAGTCCCAGTAACCCCCCAGTAAGTCCCAGTGACCCCCCAGTAATCCCAGTAACCCCCCAGTAAATCCCAGTAACCCCCCAGTAAGTCCCAGTAACCCCCAGTAATCCCAGTAACCCCCAGTAAATCCCAGTAACCCCCAGTAAGTCCCAGTAACCCCCAGTAACTCCCAGTAACCCCCCAGTGAGCCCCCAGTAATCCCAGTAACCTCCCAGTAAATCCCAGTAACCTCCCAGTAAATCCCAGTAAATCCCAGTAAATCCCAGTAAACCTCCAAGTAACCTCCCAGTAACCCCTCAGTGACCCCCAGTAATCCCAGTAACCCCCAGTAACTCCCAGTAACCCCCCAGTAATCCCAGTAACCCACCAGTAATCCCAGTAACCTCCCAGTAATCCCAGTAACCTCCCAGTAATCCCAGTAGCCCCCCAGTAATCCCAGTAACCTCCCAGTAACCCCAGTAACCTCCCAGTAAATCCCAGTAACCTCCCAGTAATCCCAGTAACCTCCCAGTAACCTCCCAGTAATCCCAGTAACCTCCCAGTAATCCCAGTAACCCCCCAGTAACTCCCAGTAACCTCCCAGTAAATCCCAGTAACCTCCCAGTAATCCCAGTAAGTGCAGTAACTTCCCCATACTATCCCAGTAGCTCCCAGTTCCTCCCAGTAGCTCCCAGTACCTCCCAGTAACTCCCAGTAACATCCCAGTAGCTCCCAGTGCTCCCAGTTCCTCCCCAGTTCCTCCCAGTAGCTCCCAGTACCTCCCAGTAACTCCCCAGTAGCTCCCAGTAGCTCCCAGTTCCTCCCCAGTAGCTCCCAGTAGCTCCCAGTCCCTCCCCAGTAGCTCCCAGTTCCTCCCAGTATATCCCAGTTTGTCCTAGTATCTCCCAGTAACATCCCAGTTCCTCCCAGTCCTTCCCAGTCCCTCCCAGTAGCTCCCAGTAACTCCCAGTAACATCCCAGTAGCTCCCAGTTCCTCCCAGTTCCTCCCAGTAACTCCCAGTGCCTCCCAGTAGCTCCCAGTAACTCCCAGTAACATCCCAGTATCTCCCAGTCCCTCCCAGTTCCTCCCAGTTTGGCCCCGATTTTCCCGTATTTTTCCCCAAATTCGCCCCCCCCCAAAAAAAAGAGAAAATTTGGGAAAAATGGGGAAATTTGGGGAAATTTGGGGGAATTTTTGTGAATTTGGGGGAATTTTGGGTGAATTTTAGGTAAATTTGGGGGGAATTTGAGGGAATTTTGGGGAATTTCGGTGAATTTGGGATGAATTTGGGTGTAAATGTGGGAATTTGGGGTGAATTTGTGTGGAATTTGTGGGAATTTTTGTGAATTTGGGGAATTTGAGGGAATTTTGGGATGAATTTGAGGGAATTTGGTGGAATTTGGGTAAATTTGGGGGAATTTTGGGGCAATTTGAGTGAAATTTGGAGGGAATTTGGGAGAATTTGGGGGAATTTGGGTAAATTTGGGGGAATTTGGGTAAATTTGGGATGAATTTGGGTAAATTTGGAGGGAGTTTGAGGGAATTTTGGGGGGAATTTGGGGGAATTGGGATGAATTTGGGTGAATTTGAGGGAGTTTTGGGTAAATTTGGGATGAATTTGGGGGAATTTGGGGTGGAATTTGGGGAAACTGGGTGGAATTTAGACAAATTTGGGTGAATTTGGGTGCATTTTGGGTGAATTTTGGTGGAATTTTGGGGAATTTGGGTGAATTTGGAAGAATGTGGGGTGAATTTGGGTAAATTAGGGTGAAGTTGGGTGAATTTGGGGTGGAATTTCTGGGAATTTGGGGGGAATTTGTGTAAATTTGGTTGAATTTGGGGGAATTTGGGGGAATTTGGGGGTGTAAATGGGGGAATTTAAGAGAATTTGGGGTAAATTTGGGTGAATTTTGTTGAATTTGGTGTCAATTTGGTTGAATTTGAGTAGATTTGGGGGGAATTTGGAGTAAATTTGGGGTAAATTTGGGTGAATTTGGGGTGAATTTGAGTGTAAATGTGGGAATTTGGGGTGAATTTGGGTGAATTTTGGAGAATTTGGGTAAATTTGGAGGGAATTTGAGAGAATTTTGGGGTGAATTTGGGGGAATTTGGGTGAATTTGGGGGGAATTTGAGTGAAATTTGGAGAGAATTTGGGAGAATTTGGGGGAATTGGGTGGAATTTAGATAAATTTGGGTGAATTTGGATGAATTTGACTGAATTTTGTTGAATTTGGGGTCAATTTGGTTGAATTTGAGCAGATTTGGGGGGAATTTGGAGTAAATTTGGGGTAAATTTGTGTGAATTTGGGGTAAATTTGTGTAAATTTGGGTGAATTTGGGTGAATTTGGGGTAAATTTGGGTGAATTTGGGTGAATTTGGGGTAAATTTGGGTGAATTTGGGTGAATTTGGGTAAATTTGGGGTAAATTTGGGGTAAATTTGGGTGAATTTGTCCGGCAGGTGAGGCCAAAATGGCCCCCATGGCCCCCGCCTCAGGTGAGGCCCCTCCCCCACCCCGGGGACACCCCAATGGCCCCTCCCCCACCCTGGGACACTCTCAGCCCCTCCCCACCCCAGGATATCCCCCAGCCCCTCCCCCACCCCGGGGATACCTCTAAACCCCTCCCCACCCTGGGAACACCCCCATGGCCCTCCCCAGCCCTCCCCCACCCTGTGGCCCCTCCCCACCCCGAGGACAGCCCCAGCCCCTCCCCACCCTGGGACACTCTCAGCCCCTCCCCACCCCAGGATATCCCCAGCCCCTCCCCACCCTGTGGCCCCTCCCCACCCCAGGGACAACCCGTGGCCCCTCCCACCCTAAGACACCCTCAGCCCCTCCCCACCCCGGGACACCCCCAGCCCCTCCCCCACCCCTTGGCCCTCCCCACACCCCGGGACACCTCCCAGCCCCTCCCCACCCTGTTGGCCCTTCCCCACCCCAGGAGACACCCCATGGCCCCTCCCCACCCTGTGGCCCCTCCCCACCCTAGGGACACCCCCATAGCCCCTCCCCCACTCTGGGACACCCTCATGGCCCTCCCCACCCAGGGACACCCCAGCCCCTCCCCACCCCTTTCACCCCTCCCCACCCCAGGGACACCCCCATGGCCCCTCCCCACCCTGGGGCCCCTCCCCACCCGGGGACACCCCATGGCCCCTCCCCACCCTGGGGCCCCTCCCCCACCCTGAGATACCCTCAGCCCCTTCCCACTCTGGGACACCTCAGCCTCTCCCCACCCTGAGATACCCTCAGCCCCTCCCCCACTCCAGGGACACCCCAGCCCTCCCCACCCCGGGGACACCCCCATGGCCCCTCCCCACCCTGGGGACACCTCAAAACCCCTCCCCACCCTGTGGCCCCTCCCCCACCCCAGGGACACCCTCAGCCCCTCCCCACCCGGGACACCCCAGCCCCTCCCCACCCTGGGGCCCCTCCCCCACCCCGGGACACCCCAGCCCCCTCCCCGGGCCGGGTGTGACCCCTCCCCCTCTCCCCTCTCCCCTCCCCCTCCCCCTCCCGCCCCTCCCCCCAGCGGCGCCTCCGGACCGAGATCGCTTCTACTACGGTGAGTGGGGGAGGGGCGAGGGGCTTGAGGGTCCAGGGGGATTTTGGGAGGATTTTGGGGGATTTTGGGGAATTTTGGGGGATTTTGAGGGGATTTTTGGGTGCTTAGGGAGATTTCGGGGGCATTTTTGGAGTTATTTGGGGGTGTTTTGGGGGATTTTGAGGCATTTTGGGGAATTTCAGGGGATATTTTGGGGATTTTGGGGGGTTTTGAGAGGGATTTAGGGGAGATTTTGGGGAATTTTGGGGTATTTGGGGGATTTTGGGGTGTTTTGGGGGGTATTTTAGGGTGTTTTGGGAGGATTTTAGGATATTTTGGGGTGGTTTGGGGGTATTTTGAGGAGATTTTAGGGGTATTTTGAGGGTATTTGGGTGTATTTTGGGGGTATTTGGGGGATTTTGAGGAGATTTGGGATATTTGGGGTATTTTGGGAGTGTTTTTGAGGATTTGGGGTATTGGTGGGATTTTAGGGGGTGTTTAGGGGTTTTTGAGGTATTTTGGGGGTATTTTGGGGTGTTTTAGGGTGTTTTTGGGGATTTTGGGGAATTTGGGTTTATTTTGGGGGTTATTTTGGGAGTATTTGTGGGTGTTTTGGGGATATTTTGGGGGATTTTGGGGAGGGATTTTGGGAGTATTTTGGGGTTGTTTGGGGGGATTTGGGAGTATTTTGGGGATTTGTTTGGGGGAGATTTTGTGATGGGATTTTGGGGTATTTTGAGGTGGTTTTGGGGGATTTTGGAGGATTTTGGGGGTAATTTGGGATGGTTTTGGGGATTTGCAGAGATTTTGGGTGTATTTTAGGGGGTTTTGGAGTATTTTGGGGTATTTTGGGGAATTTTGGGAGGATTTTGGGGGATTTTGGGAGGATTTTGGGGGATTTTGGGGGGGATTTTGGTGGATTTGGGGAGGATTTTGGGGGATTTTGGGGGGTTCAGGGGATTTTGGGGGTTCAGGAGGGATTTTGGGGTGTTCAGGGGATTTTGGGGAATTTTGGGGGGATTTTGGGGAGATTTTGGGGATTTTGAGGTCTCGGGGGATTTGGGGGTCCAGGGTGGATTTTGGGGGATTTTGGGGGATTTTGAGAGGATTTTGGGAAATTTGGGGGATTTTGGGGGATTTTGGGTATTTTGGAGGATTTTGGGAGATTTTGGGAATTTTGGGAGGATTTTGGGGGGATTTTGGGGGGATTTTGGGGGATTTTGGGGTGATTTGGGGATTTTGGGGGATTTAGGAGGATTTTGGGGGATTTTGAGGATATTTTGGGAGGATTTTGGGGGTATTTGGAGGAGGATTTTGGTGGATTTTGGGGGATTTTGGGGGGGATTTTGGGAGTCCAGGGGGATTTTGGGGTTCGGGAGATTTTGGGGTTTTCAGGGGATTTTGGAGTGTTTGGGGAGATTTTGGGGGATTTTGGGGGATTTTGGGGTGTTTGGGGGTATTTTGGGGAGTATTTGGTGGGATTTTGGGGGATTTTGGGGAATTTGGGGGTATTTTGGGTGGATTTGGGGGGGATTTTGGGGTGATTTTGGGAGATTTTGGGGGTGATTTTGGGGGATTTTGGGGAGTATTTTGGAGATTTTGGGGGATTTGGGGGAATTTTAGGGAATTTTGGGGGATTTTGGGGGAGTTTGGGGGGAATTTTGGGGTGGTATTTTGGGGATTTTGGGGATTTTGGGGATTTTGGGGAATTTTGGGAGGGGATTTTAGAGTTTTGGGGGATTTTGGGGGATTTTGGGGATTTTGGGGGTATTTTGGGTATTTTGGGGGTATTTGGGGGGATTTTGAGGGATTTTGGGATGAGGATTTGGGGAGATTTTGGGGATTTTGGATGGGGATTTTGGGGATTTGGGATTTTGTGGGGGATTTTGGGGGTGATTTTTGGGTATTTTGAGGAGGATTTTGGGGGGATTTGGGGGTGTTTGGGGAATTTTGGAGGGATTTTGGGGGATTTTGTGGATTTTGGGGGATTTTGGGGAATTTTGGGGGGATTTTGGGTGGTTTTGGGGGATTTTTGGGGATTTTGGGAGATTTTGGGGGGATTTGGGGATGGTTTGGGGGGATTTTGGGTGATTTAATGGGTATTTTGGGGGATTTTGGGGATTTGGGGATATTTGGGGGGATTTTGGAGTGGATTTTGGGGATATTTTGGGGGTATTTTGGGGTATTTTGGGGAGTATTTGAGGATATTTGGGGGTATTTTGGAGATATTTGGGGGGTGTTTTGGGGGATTTTGGGGTGTTTTGTGGGGGATTTTGGTGGTTTTTGGGAGGGATTTTGGGGGATTTGGGGAGATTTTGGGGGTTTTTGGGGGATTTTGGGGAATTTTTGGGAATTTTGGGGATATTTGGGGGTATTTTGGGGATTTTAGGGGATTTTGGGGGTATTTTGGGGTATTTTGGGGAGGTATTTTGAGGGGATTTTGGGGTGTTTTGGGAGATTTTGGGGGTGTTTGGGGGGATTTAGGGGGATTTTGGGAGGATTTTGGGGGATTTTGGGGTATTTTGGGGAGTAATTTCAGGGTATTTTGGGGGTATTTTGGGGAGATTTTGGGAGGTATTTTGGGGGTGTTTTGGGGGATTTGGGGTTGATTTGGGGGTATTTTGTGGGTATTTTGAAGAGTATTTTGGGTGGATTTTGGGGGAATTTGGGGGGATTTGGGGAGTATTTTGGGGGGATCTTGGGGGGATTTTTGAGGGCTTTTGAAGGCATTTTGAGGAATTTTGGTTATTTGGGGGGGATTTTGGGGTCCCCCGGCTCTGAGGTTTTTGGGGTATTATGGGGGGTCTTTTGGGGGGATTTTGGGCTATTTTGGGGTCTGAGGAGCCCCCTTTGGCCTCCCCCTCCCCCCCAGATTACGACTCCCTCCGGCTCGGGGGTCTCGTCGTCGCCGCCGTTTTCTTCGTGCTCGGGATCCTCCTCATCCTCAGTGAGGGACAAAAACACCCCAAAACACCCCAAAAACCCTAAATCACAAAAAAACCACCAAAAAACACCCCCCAAAACACCCCAAAAACACCCCCAAACCCCTCAAAAACACCCCAAAAACACCCCCAAACCCTCAAAACTACAACCCCCCAAAACCCCAAACACCCCAATACACCCCAAAAACACCCCCAAAACACCCCAAAAACACCCCAAAAACACCCCAAAAACACCCCAAAACACACCCCAAAACACCCCAAAAACACCACCCCAAAACAGCCCCAAAACACCCCAAAACACCCCCAAAACTCCCAAAAATACCGTCAAAAACACCCCCAAAACACCCCAAAAATACAGTCAAAAACACCCCAAAAACACCCCAAAAGCACACAAACCTCAAACACCCCCAAAAACACCCCAATACACCCCAAAAAAAACCCCAAAAACAACCCAAAACCAACCCCAAAAACACCCCCAAAAACCCTCAAAAACACCCCTAAAAACAACCCCAATAGCACCCCAAAAAACACCCCAAAAATGGCCCCAAACACCCCAAAACACCCTCAAAAACACCTCAAAATACTCCTAAAACACTCCCAAAACACCCCCAAAAACACCCCAAAAACACCCAAAAACACCTCAAAAACACCCAAAAAACCCAAAAAACACCCCCAAAACCACCCAAAAATACCCCAAAAACACCCCCAAAACCCCCAAAAATACAGTCAAAAAACACCCCCAAAACCCCCAAAAAACGCCCTCAAACACCAAAAAAAACACTCCAAAAGCACCCCCCGGGAACCCCAAAAACACCCCAAAACACCAAAAAAAACTCCTCAAAAATACAGTCAAAAAACACCCCCAAAACCACCCAAAACAACCCCAAAAACACCCCAAAAACACCAAAAAAACACCCCCAAAAACACCCCCAAAACACCCCAAAAACACCCCAAAAAACACCCCAAAAATGCCCAAAAACACCCCAAAAACACCCCCAAAAAATACCCAAAAAACACCCCCAAAACCACCCCAAAAACACCCCAAAAATTCCCCAAAACACCCCAAAACATCACCAAAACCCCCTGAAATCCCCCCCCAGTTCCTCCCAGTTCCCCCCAGTCCCCTCCCAGTGCCTCCCAGTTTATCCCAGTCCATCCCAGTCCCCCCCATTCCCTCCCAATCCCCTCCCAGTGCCCCCCAGTCCCTCCCAGTCCCCTCCCAGTGCCCCCAATCCTCCCAGTGCCCCCCAATCCCTTCCCAGTCCTCCCAGTCCCTCCCAGTGCCCCCAATCCCCTCAATCCCCTCCCAGTGCCTCCCAATCCCCTCCAGTCCCTCCCAATCCCTCCCAGTCCCCTCCCAGTCCCTCCCAGTATATCCCAGTCCCTCCCATCTCACGCCCCTCCCCCTCTCCCCCCCCCCAGGCCGTCACTGCCGCTGCAAGTTCGACCAACAGCCCAAGTAACTGGGAGCACTGGGAGGCACTGGGAGGCACTGGGAGGGACTGGGAGGGACTGGGAGGGGATTGGGGGACACTGGGAGGGACTGGGAGGGGATTGGGGGACACTGGGAGGGACTGGGAGGGAACTGGGCGGGACTGGGAGGCACTGGGAGGGGATTGGGATAAACTGGGAGGGACTGGGAGGCACTGGGAGGCACTGGGAGGGGATTGGGGGGCACTGGTTTAACTGGTTTAACTGGTTTAACTGGTGGGTAACTGGTCTCTAACTGGTCAGTAACTGGTCCCTAACTGGTTAAACTGGTTTCTAACTGGTCTAACTGGTCTAACTGGTCTCTAACTGGTCTCTAACTGGTCCCTAACTGGTTAAACTGGTCCCTAACTGGTCTCTAACTGGTCTCTAACTGGTCTAACTGGTCTCTAACTGGTTTAACTGGTCTCTAACTGGTCCCTAACTGGTCTAAGTGGTCAGTTTAACTGGTTTAACTGGTCTAACTGGTGTCTAACTGGTCAGTAACTGGTCCCTAACTGGTCTCTAACTGGTCCCTAACTGGTCTCTAACTGGTGTCTCTAACTGGTTAAACTGGTCCCTAACTGGTCACTAACTGGTCTCTAACTGGTCTCTAACTGGTCTCTAACTGGTCTAACTGGTCAGTAAGTAGTCTCTAACTGGTTCTAACTGGTCAGTAACTGGTGTGTAACTGGTTGGTAACTGGTCAGTAACTGGTCTCTAACTGGTCTCTAACTGGTCTCTAACTGGTTAAACTGGTCCTAACTGGTTACTGGTCCCTAACTGGTCTCTAACTGGTCTAACTGGTCCCTAACTGGTGTAACTGGTCTCTAACTGGTCTAACTGGTCCCTAACTGGTCTCTAACTGGTCTAACTGGTCTAACTGGTCCCTAACTGGTCTAAGTGGTCAGTTTAACTGGTCTAACTGGTCAGTAACTGGTCTAAGTGGTCAGTTTAACTGGTTTAACTGGTTTAACTGGTCAGTAACTGGTTTCTAACTGGTGTAACTGGTCTCTAACTGGTTCCTAACTGGTTTAACTGGTCCCTAACTGGTCTAACTGGTCCCTAACTGGTGTAAACTGGTCCCTAACTGGTTTAACTGGTCTCTAACTAGTGTAACTGGTCTCTAACTGGTCTGTAACTGGTCAGTTTAACTGGTGTAACTGGTCTCTAACTGGTGTAACTGGTTTCTAACTGGTGTAACTGGTCTCTAACTGGTCCCTAACTGGTCTAAGTGGTCAGTCTAACTGGTCTAACTGGTGTCCCCAGGACGGGTGAACCGGACGAGGCCGAGGGGCCCCTCAGGCAATCCATGAGACGTGAGCGGGGGAGGGACCCCAAAAACACCCCGGGACCCCCAAAATGACCCCAAAAAACCCAAAATCACCCCAAAATAACCCCAAAATCACCACAAATAACCCCAAAATGACCCCAAATAACCCCAAAATGACCCCAAAATCACCCCAAATAACCCCAAAATCCCCCAAAATGAACCCAAAATCACCCCAAATAACCCCAAAATCACCCCAAATCACCCCAAAATCCACCCCGGGACCCCCAAAATGACCCCAAATCCACCCAAAAACACCCCGGGACCCCCAAAATCAACCCAAATAACCCCAAAATCCACGCCGGGACCCCCAAAAACTCCCCCGGGACCCCCAAAATAACCCCAAACAACCCCAAAATCACCCCAAATAACCCCAAATCCACCCCGGGACCCCCAAAAACTCCCCCGGGACCCCCAAAATAACCCCAAATAACCCCAAAATGACCCCAAATAACCCCAAAATGACCCCAAAATCACCCAGGACCCCAAAAACTCCCCAGGACCCCCAAAATAACCCCAAATAACCTCAAAATGACCCCAAAAACCCCAGGACCCCCAAAATCACCCAGGACCCCAAAATGACCCCAAATCCACCCAAAACCCCCAGGACTCCAAAACCCCGGGACCCCAAAATCACCCCAAATAACCCCAAAATCACCCCAAATAACCCCAAAATCCACGGGACCCCAAAAACCCCCCGGGACCCCCAAAATGACCCCAAATCCACCCAAAATCACCCGGACCCCAAAAACCCCGCGACCCCAAAATTCCCCCAAAACCCCCAAAATCCCTCAGGTCCCCCACAAAATCCCCTAAATCCCCCAGACCCCGAAATTCCCCAAAATCCCCCAAATCCCCCAAATTCCCCAGACCCCAAAATCCCTCAGGACCCCAAAATCCTCAGACCCCCAAAATTCCCTGACCCTCAAACCCCCAAAATCCCCTAAAATCCCCCAAAACCCCTGAAGACCCCAAATCCTCCAGGTCCCCAAACCCCAGACCCCCAAATCCCCCAAATTCCCCAGACCCCAAAACCCCCTCAAAATCCCCAGACCCCCAAAACCCCAAAATCCCCCAAGCCCTGACCCCCTCCCCAGGTTTATCCACCGCATGAGATGAGGAAATTTGGAGACCCTCCCAAATTTTGGGGGGCGTTAGACGTCACCCCCCACGGCCACGGACGGACCCCTGACCCCTCCCCACCCTCCCCACCCCCCAATAAAGGATCGTTAAAAACCCTCCCCACTCCCAGTTTGGGGTCATGGCCGGCACTGGGGGAACTGGGAGGGGCTTGGGGGGGTCTGAGGGGATTTTGGGGGTCTTGAGGAGGTTTGGGGGGTCTGGAACAATTTTGGGGGATCTGGGAGGATTTTCGGAGGTCTGAGGGATTTTGGGGGTCTTGAAGGGGTTTGGGGGATTTTGGGGGTCTGGAGAGGATTTTGGGGGTCCTGAGGAGATTTTGGGGGTCTTGGAAGGATTTTGGGGGATCTGGGAGGATTTTGGGGGTCCTGAGAGGGGTTTTGGGGGTCTGGAAGGGATTTTGGGGGGGTCCTGAAGGAGGTTTTGGGGGAGGATTTTGGGGGTCTGGAGAGGATTTTGGGGGTCTGGAGGGGATTTTGGGGGTCTTGAGGGGGTTTTGGGGGTCTGGAACAATTTTGGGGGTCTGGGAGGGATTTTGGGGGATCTGGAGAGGATTTTGGGGGATCTGGGAGGATTTTGGGGGTCTGGGGGGATTTTGGGGGTCTGGAACAATTTGGGGGGGTCTGGAGGGGATTTTGGGGGTCTGGGGGGATTTTGGGGGTCCTGAGGGGATTTTTGGGGGTCTGGAACAATTTTGGGGGTGTCTGGAGATTGGGGATTTTGGGGGTCCTGGAGGGATTTGGGGGTTGGGGGTCCTGAGGAGATTTTGGGGGGGTCTTGAGGGGGTTTTGGGGTGTCTTGAACAATTTTAGGGGGTCCTGAGGGGTTTATGTGGGGTCCTGGAAGGGGTTTTGGGGGTTTTGGTGGCATTTTGGGGGGTCTGGAGGTGGCTTTGGGTGGTTTTGGGGTATCCAGAGGGGTTTTTGATGATTTTGGGGGGTCTGGAGGAGGTTTTTGGGGGTCCAGAGGTGATTTTGGGGGATCCAGAGGGGGTTTGTTGATGATTTTGGGGATCCGGAGGGGGTTTTGAGTGATTTTGGGGGTCTAGAGGTGATTTTGGGGTATCCAGAGGGGTGTTTTGATGATTTTGGGGTGCCCTGAGGGGATTTTTGGTGGTTTAGGGGATCCAGAGAGGGTTTTGGGGGTCCAGGGGAGGTTTGTAGGTGGTTTTGGGGGTCCGAAGGTGATTTTGGGGGATTTTGGGGGCTCCGGAGGAGGTCTTTGATGATATTTGGGGGTCCAGAGGGGGTTTGAAGGGGTCCGAGAGGGGGTTTGGTGGTTTTGAGGGTGTCTGGACGTGATTTTGGGGGTCTGGAGGGGGTTTTTGATGATTTGGGGGTCCGGGAGGATTTTGGTGGTTTTGGGAGGTCTGGAGGTGATTTTGGGGGATCGGGAGGGGGGTTTTGATGATTTTGGGGTGTCCGGAGGGGTTTTGGGTGATTTTGAGGGGATCTGGAGAGGTTTTGGGGGTCCGGAGGAGGTTTGATGGTTTTTGGGGGCCTGAGGGAGTTTTGGGGTATCCAGAGGGGTTTTTGATGATTTTGGGGGTCTGGAGGGGTTTTTTGGGGGTTTTGGGGTTTTCTGAGGGTTTTTTTGGGGTTCCCTCCCTCGCCGCGGTCCGGTGGGCGTGGCCTGCCCGTCGTGGCCCGCCCCTTTGCCGCAGCGCCGCGGCTGGAGCCGAAAAACCCGAAGGGACCCGGACAGTTCCAGAACCCACCTAGAGACCCTCCGGACCCCGGACCCACCCGAACCTACCCGAACCGACCCGAACTCACCCGAACCCACCCCGCCGAACCCACCCGAACCCCAAAGCTGGGTCCCGAACCCACCCGAACCCACCCGAAACACCCGAACGGTTCCGAACCCACCCGAACCCCAAAGGGGTCCCGAACCACCCGAACCCACCCGAACCTCACCGGGGGGTCCCGAACTCACCCGAACCGGCCCCGAACTCATCGGAACTCCACCCGAACCGGCCCGAACCGGTTCCGAGCCGGCCCGAACCGGCGAAGCGGAGCCGGAGGGAGCCGAAGGTCCAGCCATGGCCACCCCCACAGAGCCCGCCATGGGAGGTGAGGGGGCTGGGTCGGGGCTGGGTGGGTGCTGGGTGGAGGCAGGATGGGTGCTGAGGGTTCTGGGTGGGTGCAGGGGGTACAGGTGGGTGCTGGGTGGGTGCTGGGTGGGGGCAGGATGGGTGCTGAGGGTTCTGGGTGGGTGCTGGAGGTGCTGGGTGGTGCAGGATGGGTGCAGGGGGTGCTGGACATGCTGGGTGGGTGTTGGTGCAGGGACGAGGGTGCAGGGGGTACAGGTGGGTGCTGGTGGTGCAGGATGGGTGCAGTGGGTGCTGGGGGTGCAGGATGGGTGCAGTGGGTGCTGGGGGTGCAGGATGGGTGCTGGGTGGGTGCTGGGGGTGCAGGATGGGTGCAGTGGGTGCTGGTGCAGGAGCAGGGCACAGGTGGGTGCTGGACATGCTGGGTGGTGCAGGATGGGTGCAAGGGGTGCAGGATGGGTGCACTGGGTGCTGGTGCAGGAGCAGGGCACAGGTGGGTGCTGGTGGTGCAGGATGGGTGCAGGGGATGCTGGGTGGGTGCTGGTGCAGGATGGGTGCAGGATGGGTGCTGGTGCAGGATGGGCGCAGGGGTGAGGGTGCAGGGTTCAGGTGGATGCTGAATGGTGCAGGGTGGGTGCAGGGGGTGCTGGTTCTGGGGTGCAGGATGGGTGCTGGGGGTGCAGGGTGGGTGCAGGGGGTGCTGAGGTGCTGGTGCAGGGAGGAGGGTGCAGGGGGACAGGATGGGTGCTGGGTGGGTGCAGGATGGGTGCAGGGGTGCTGGAGATGCTGGGTGGGTGCTGGTGCAGGGACGAGGGTACAGGGGATGCAGGATGGGTGCAGAGGGTGCTGGTGGTGCAGGATGGGTGCAGGGGGTGCAGGGGGTGCTGAGGTGCTGGTGCAGGGAGGAGGGTGCAGGGGGGACAGGATGGGTGCTGGGTGGGTGCAGGATGGGTGCAGGGGGTGCTGGAGATGCTGGGTGGGTGCTGGTGCAGGGACGAGGGTGCAGGGGATGCAGGATGGGTACAGGTGGGTGCTGGTGGTGCAGGGGGTACAGGTGGGTGCTGGGTGGGTGCAGGGGTGCAGGGGCACAGGTGGGTGCTGGGTGGGTGCAGAGGGTGCAGGGGGTGCAGGGTGGGTGC